TTTTATCAATATAAAAATCCATAAGTCCAATGCTGTATACGAATTGTTGTTGCGTGAAACAATGTTGTATTTTATGCATGTATTTATCACCAATTCCGAGAGTAAAAGTCGTAACTTTCGAAGGTACGAGTATTATGACTCATCCATACATTTTACTTACGTTTGTCACACTTGATTAAAGTCTACCACATGAAAAAAATGTTATTTACGAACTTTTAAATAGCTGAGCCTTCCTGATTCGAGCCTTCTGTTGATTTGACAATGGTGGGTATCATTAATGTTTATTCTTTGCCTGTATCGCATTCCAGACAAAAAGTTCAAGATCGGTAAACAAGAAATGGACGAACTAAAATGTGTTTCATGTGCGATATGATTATTTAAAAACAAGCAGCCTGTCGGCTGAGATAGCTCCGCTGTTAGCAATGCACATGGCAATTAAAGAACAGAAGATATCATTAGAAAATGAACAAATCTGAGAGAGGTCCACATGTAGTACCTATATGTATAATATATCAAAGCAATTGGACTTGCGGTTTTCAACAAGAAGTCTAAAATATCACTTTTTACCAAAAATTACAAAAATATTCATCAAAATTAGAGAATTAAAGATATCATTATGAAATGAACAAATCTGAGAGAGGTCCACATGTAGTACCTATATATGTAATATCAAAGCAATTGGACTTGCGGTTTTCAACAAGAAGTCGAAAATATCACTTTTTACCAAAAATTACAAAAATATTCACCGAAATTAGAGAATTAAAGATATCATTACAAAATGAACAAATCTGAGAGAGGTCCACATGTAGTACCTATATATGTAATATCAAAGCAATTGGACTTGCGGTTTTCAACAAGAAGTCGAAAATATCACTTTTTACCAAAAATTACAAAAATATTCACCAAAATTAGAGAATTAAAGATATCATTACAAAATGAACAAATCTGAGAGAGGTCCACATGTAGTAGCTATATATGTAATATCAAAGCAATTGGACTTGCGGTTTTCAACAAGAAGTCGAAAATATCACTTTTTACCAAAAATTACAAAATTATTCACCAAAATTAGAGAATTGACGATATCATTACAAAATGAACAAATCTGAGAGAGGTCGACATGTAGTACCTATATATGTAATATCAAAGCAATTGGACTTGCGGTTTTCAACAAGAAGTCGAAAATATCACTTTTTACCAAAAATTACAAAAATATTCACCAAAATTAGAGAATTAAAGATATCATTACAAAATGAACAAATCTGAGAGAGGTCCACATGTAGTACCTATATATGTAATATCAAAGCAATTGCACTTGCGGTTTTCAACAAGAAGTCGAAAATATCACTTTTTACTAAAAATGACAAAAATATTCACCAAAATTAGAAAATTGAAGATATCATCATGAAATGAACAAATCTGAGAGAGGTCTACCCAAGGTACATATACACCAAGTATCAAAGCATTCAGGCTTGTAGTTTTCAAGAAGAAGTCGAAAAAGTAAAACATTGACACGGACGACGACGACGGACGACGACGGACAATCACTCATATGATAAGCTCCGCTCGACAAAGTCGACAGCGGAGCTAAAAAAACAGAGTTAAGCGGTCATGTACGTTCTATAAATCTAACCTTGCACACATAATCTTGTATTGACGTTTTTTTTTTTTTTGTCAAAAACGACGTTGCCTTTCAGTTAACTTCTCGCGTTCATGGTATTTGTGAGAGTTTACCGATTTTTTGAACAAATGTTAAGTAACTATATCGTTTTGCGTCAAACTGGGTGGCCCGAATTTAAATGTCAGTGTGTGAACTCATTGAGGTCATTGCCCAATGCCGCACGTAATTCAAACACGTGGTTATTAGAGTTCAGTCGAAATGTACGCGAATAATGCGATCAAAGTGCGTTGCGAGTTTATTATAGAAAAATTTAACATTACGCATGATATTGTATGGTTAATATTACATATTCACTTTATTTCGAATAAAATAATTCACTGATGAGTCACAAGTATTTAAAATATTTTCTCGACTTTCGTTAGACCTGACTATCTTTTTCAATGATTTAAATGCGCCCATGTTTATATTTGCGTACTAATTACGAATGCAACGCATTATCAAGTCGGTAATATTGAAATATTCACAGACACAATAGCCCGGGTTAGCGTCCCAACAATAATAAAAATAATTTAGTTTGCGTAATTATTATAAAATCAATACATTGCAAACTGTAAACATATTTGTGTTATTAGAAAAGCAGCACACTAAGTAAACGATGTTGAAATATTCAAAGCCAATACAGAGTTGGATACAAGTTGTGTTATTACAGTACCGCCGGATATAATAATAATTTTACGAGATCGACGCGTGGACCAAGAAAGAAAAGGGTTGCTAAGGTAACGCGCCAGTTCAGTGCGTGACTTGGGGTCAAACTTCGGTCAACACACACTTGATGTCAGCATCGGCACGTAGCAAATTTCGCAACGTACTTAAAGTTCAATTGTGCCCCAAAATGATGTCGATGATCGCTCAATTGTCGCAGTGCATGTTGTACCAAGTCCATGATACACCCGGGACCCTGTTACGACTTTCGCTTGCTTTTCCTTCTTAGTGCATGTTCTTGTTCACGTAAATGCGACCTCTCACCAATGTATTAAAACACTTTGAATTTATACTTTGCGTGATTATATTTGGTCTATGCAAAACATTAAAGGGGAACTAAATAGAGCCTATTTTGGTGTTTGTATTTATCAAGTTATGTATATTGATTATAAATTTGAAAAAAAAAATTAAAAAAATGATTATCTTCAGAGTTATGATGATTTAAATATGAGAAACCATAAACCTGCGAAGGACTTCCGTTTGCGCCATCTTGCCTAAAAAACGCCCTCATGAGGTATAAACAGGTAAGGTAACAAAGCATGATGACGAAATAGTATCTGATTAAATATAAGCAACTTAGGAGCCATAGTTAGGCTGGACTGGTGAATTGACTTCTAGTCTAGGTTGTTTCGACTTTTACGTTAATGTTTATTTACAAGCATATCAACATACAAACATTATGGATGTGCGATTGATCGAGACAGGCATTTTGTTTTGTTTTTTAGTCTAACTGTCTAATAAATGCTGTTTCCAGTACTGCACTGTGCGGCGTGCAAATTATTCAAAGTATCGATGCTGGAGTATGCAATCTTGAGTTCGTAGGGTGGTGGTGGAAACATTTCCGTCCATGTATTCACGGGGCTGCACTGGCAAATCATGGGACAAGTGTCACAGGAACACCAAGCAGATTGTTCACAGACTTCCGTGTAATTTGAAATAAAACTTTCATCCGAACAAGGGGCATCGTCGACGATATACTCTCATCACTCACACTGGACTGATCTGAATCGTCACAGTATACCGTACTTCACTGATAATAAGCCCGGAGGCATGAACACGTAAAGGAAAAGTAAGGGATGAGTTTGTACTCGAGGACCAACTCAGAAAAAAATATTTTGTTTTGGGGTTAAACACTGTAACCATCTTTCAAACAACGAAACATTATCCAAAAGAAATATTCGTTCACCACGCCAGGCTCGGGAAAATAATTTTTGAAAAAAAATGCGTCATTGATTTGAACGATACTTACAATGAAGAAACAAACATGTTCATAAAAACACACACATTTTATTACAATACGATTTACATACCGTCTGAATTTACAGTGAAAAAATGGGTAGGGTCTGTGAGGAAAGAGTGGACGACGGCATTTATTATTAGGGTTTCGAGCCCTATGGGGCGAAACCCTATTGTAATTGCTTTGATTATTATTATTAGGGTTTCGAGCCCTATGGGGCGAAACCCTATTGTAATTGCTATGTTTATTATTATTATTAT